TTCTCTTTTCACAAAAACAAAAAACAATCTATAACAGTGTGTTTTATAGTTCTATATTATACTTTTTGAAGTTAATACTGTTCTTTTTCTGTTATCTACATATATGTTTGTAGGTTATTGCCCTGAATTTATCCCTCCATGATGACAGACAGCTATGCAGACAGACAGACGACAGACAGACAGGGGGCCTGTCGCTGCTGTCTCCGCCCCCCTGCACACGTGACAGCTGGAGCACTGAGTAGTTTGACTGGTTACAGACTTCAACAGCTCCTGCAGCGGTAACACTAATCTGAAGGTAAAGCAAAACTTTTCTGGAAGTCATACAGATGCAGTTGATATTCAGTATTATTATAATTATCAACATTATGTCCAATATCTGTTCTGTTCTGCAGTATTTTACATTAGTCTTAAGTTCTCCACGTTAACGGTTTGCTCTGAAATGCTGCCTCGCTAAACTAAGATTTATCCGACATGTTGTTCGCTCTGTAACAAACTCTCTCTCTCTCTCTATATATATACATATACATATATTTAATAATAATATGCTGCATTGTTATTAGAAGCTGTGTTTATTGTAAAAGTACTCAGATGTAGTGTTAATCAGTCAACCCTGTAGTCTGAGGTAGCTGTCCGGGTGGCTATTATTTATTTTTAGATGCCATAAATACATTAGTTATTATTTTTTGTTATATAAATAGATCCATAATAATAATAGTAATTATTCTACATGCATTTAAGTAATGCATTGCTCATTAATAATAATAGAAAGATGTTTTAGAAATAATAACAACTATGCACAATATGGATTTTGTTTTAAGCCTTTACAATAACCGATAATCATCTTCTTCTCGATGATAATTTCATGTTTTTGTATTTTAAACAACACACTTGATAAGGTTAGTGAGCTCTGTCTAACCAAATATAACTGACATTACTATTATTTACAAAAACAAACAATAAAACAGTTCAGACTCTTCAAATGTTCATTTATTTTAACTAGTAAAGTACATAAAAAACTTCAAAAACGTATTTTCATAGAGAAAATAACTTAATAATAATTATTATTATGGACCAATAATTTATCAGCTGTGATTTAATTATCAGGATACATTTATAATAGCATAAATGATCTTTTGTGAATCTAAACTCAGATCCAGATTGTGATGTTGGTCTGTTTGCATATCAGACTCCTTTATGAGTGAGTGAGTCTTGAGATGTGAGTGTGTTTCCTCTCATATAAATGCAGACATGCGGGTGGCAGTGATTGGAGCTGGAGTCATCGGCCTGTCAACAGCTCAGAGCATCTATGAGCAGTATCACTCCATCGTCAGTCCTCTGACCATTGAGGTGTACGCGGACCGTTTCACTCCACTGACCACCAGTGATGGAGCCGCTGGCTTCTGGCAGCCGTACCTCTACGATAAGGGCAACGTCCAGGAGACGTACGTGCAGTCTGTTTAACCCTCTTTTTGATTCTCCACTTTTACCTGTTGCCACCATTTTTCAATGAAGTATTTGTGCTCATGTTTAGAAAATGGAATAAAGAGACATTTGACTACTTGCTGAGCTTCCTCAGTTCACCAGAGTCCGTAAAAATGGGTATTTTTCTTCAGTCTGGCTACAACCTCTGCACTGAACCAGTCCCAGTGAGTAGAGCTTTGTTCTGCACAGTTGAATCTGACCTCAAAGATAAGGTTTGACATTGTTTAGGAAAAACGTTTACAACCAAGACCAAAAGGCACTGCACAGCTTTAAATATAGATATAGTTAAAGTGTAAACTCAGATAACGCGTTCATAAATTGATCACATGATCACCAGTGAGTGACTGAGTGAAAGTAGAGCTTTGTTCAGATGCACAAAGATGGGGGCCTGCAGTGGTTGGAAAACAATAACAGAGAGGCCTCATCAAGGGTTTGAAGTTGGGGTTAGCACATTAACACAGCTAAGACATGTTTAGTGTATAAATGACTGTGTTCTCATACTAAGTGGCTTGTTTTTGAATGCAGGATCCCTCATTTAAAGATATTGTCCTGGGCTTCAGGCAGCTCACGGAGAGAGAACTGCAGATGTTCCCCGGATACAAGTAGGTTCCCACGGAAACTGCCATGAAAGCAAACCCAGAAAGAACATTAGTTAGGTAGATCTATTTAATGCTGAACATCTGATCGTTTCCAACCAAGACTTTGCTGTGTATCAGACATCAAGAATACAGAAAAATGTCTTCCAAGATGTATATAATAATGTATATAATGTACACAAATGTTTATCCAGATAAAGGGATTGTTC